CCCCCCCCCCAATTTAGATTCCTGATCCATTTTGAGTTTCATCTTTTATGTAATGTGAATTATGGATATAATTTCATCTTTTTTTCAAATGACTACTTGGTTGCCCCTATTCCATTTTTATTAAAAAGTCCATCTTTGCCCCAGTGATTTGAGATGCACCTTTATCATATACTAAAGTTCCATATGTATGTGATTTATTTCTGGATTGTCTATTGTATTCCACAGGTCTCTTTGTCTATTTCTGAGTCAGTGTCACACAGTTTTAATTATAGAGGCTTTATGGTTTATTTTAATGTCTGGGAGAGCTAGTGCTCTCTCATAGTTTTTCCTTTTTAGTGTTTTTATGGGTGTTCTTGCATGTTTGTTTTTCCATATGAACTTTAGTAAAAACTTGTCTCCGTAAAAAAGTTTGATGTCTTTTTATTAGGATTGTATTAAGTCTATAAATAACTTAGGGAGAATTGATAGCTTTATATTGTTGAGTTGTTCTATCCAAGAACAAAGGATATCTTTCCATTTGTTCACATCTACTTTTGTGTCTTTCAGGGGTGTTTTAAAATTTTCCTTAATAAGTTTCACACATTTCTTGTTAAGTTGTTTCTAAGTATTTAATTTTTTTCGTTGGTATTGTAAATGGGGTTTTCCTTACTGTTATGTGTGTATATGCAGGCTATTGATTTCTGTATATTAATGTTATATCCTGCTATCTTACTGAATTCTTTTATTATTTGAGTTAGTTTTATCATTGGATCTTAAAGATTTTTCCAAATATACTATCATATATTTGTACATATACTATCATATACTTGTACATATTTTCACGCCCTCTTTACCAATTCTTATTCCTCTAATTGGTTTTTCTTGTCAGATTACTTTGAGGTATACCTCTAGTACAGCAGTAAATAGTATTGAAGATAGTAGACATCCTTGCCTTATTCCTAATCTTAATGGAAATGCCTCTAGTGATTCTCAATTAAGTAATATAATTCCTCTAGGAGCCCTGGTGGTACAGTGGTTAAGTGTTCAGCTGCTAACCAAAAGGTCAGCAGTTTGAATCTACCAGCCACTCCTTGGAAACCCTATAGGGCAGTTTTACTCTGTCCTATGGGGTTGCTGTGAGTCAGAATCGACTCGACGGCAATGGTTTAGGACCAAAGTATATATATTTTATCATGTTAAAAAAGTATACCTCAAGTCTTATTTTCTTGAGTGTCATATATATTGTCTGTCCTCCAGGCTGGGTGCACAGCATTACATCACCAACAGTAGTGCATGTGTTTGTCAGTTTATCCACATTTGCCAGTGCTGGGTTTTTTTTTAATTGTACTTCACGTGAAGGTTCACAGAATAAATAGTTTCTCATTAAACAGTCAGTACACATATTGTTTTATGACATTGGTTAACAACCCCATGACATGTCAACCCTTTCCCTTCTCGACCTTTTTTTTTTTTTTTGTGAAAATATACATAGGCAAAGATACACCATTTCAAAAATTTCTACATGCACAGTTCAGTGACATCGATTACGTTCT